TGAACATTGTGAAATAAATCATTTTTTCTCTTATTAGAAAATTTTCCCATTGAAAATTTTACCGAAGCGCATGATAATGTTCCATGTATCAACCAGATTTGATTTGATTAGAACAAGTTATATTCTTAGGCCCATAATCACTTTTTTCTCCATCCCCTTCTCTTAGACAGTGCAATTTTCTTACGAGTTTCTATGGTAACTAGTAAATACCTACTGGTAATTGCATATTTTTTGCTACATGCCGCGAAAGAATGATGGAAAAAATACTTCATTCAAGAAAAACTCACTGACTCATGTATAATTGGGTGATACGAAGCTTTTCAGTGTTTATACTTGGAGGGATTAGTTTTGAGTAGGCAAAATGAGTAGCTAAATTGGCATTTGAGAGTAGCCTACAGCCAAATACTTGAAGATCTTCAAATCAGAACTTACTGTACATCTTGTAAAACTTAATCCCCATGGAGTTTTTTTCAGGAGTTTTTTTGATTTTTTTTTTCTCCCAGAGTAAGACTGTTATGTGGCTATCCGTAGAAGAAATACTTCCCATTGCAGTACATGCCCGGATGCATCGAGGTAAATGCGTATGTGAACCAAAATGGAAGGGACCTATTTGTAACGAATTCGAAGGCTGCCCTGAAGGACATGCATTGCATGGAAAAGTGTAAGTCCGCATGAAAATTACTTTATTTTTCTTTCAGAGTGGTCCCGTTTTTGAAGAAAAAGGAATTTCATATTTTGAGCACTTAGTGGAAATGAATTGGTGATGAATACGTAAATAATGAGATATTTAGTAAAAAGTAAATATATTAGTAAATAAGTAAATAACAATGGTTATCCTAGCTGTTTCTGCAAGAAAAGTTGCTCTTTGCAAGATTTTTTTCCCTCAAAAAGGGCTTTTTGGTCATTGGTGCATGCTATAGCAAGTGCGTGCCAGCAGCGTCTACGCCATTCATTTGAAATTAGCGCTAATTGCGAAAATCCTCATTTGGATTTAGCAAGAGACTAGGAAGGAATTGGCCGTGCAGGAATATGGCCTTTACTCATAAAAAATGCAACAGCATGGGGTTGGTATCAAGAACAGGGTACGGATCAATTTGATTCTGTGATGATCTCCACGGAAAGCATTTGAAGGGTTGTGATCCTAAAACTTAAAATCTCCACGGTGGTATTTTTGGTGAGTAACTTGGGAAGCTGTTTCCATGTGAGAGCTGGTAGCACCTTTCAAGTTTTTAGTGTTGTCTCCATCTGGTATTGACTTTTTAGGGTACCCTGAAAGCCCACGAAGACGGTGGAGGTGGTGTAGTGGCATTCTGCGTACACCCATATCCAAGGTTTGAATCCCGTATCGACGCCCGCCTAGGTCAACCATGCTCTTCATCCCGCTGGGGGATGATATTGGCTCCCAACTTGTCTGGGAGGATAGAAGCACCGTATGGGATTCGCACATAACTTAAAATTCGATCCTGGATGAATGTTAATAGGGTTTTGATACTTTCTTTCCCTTTTTTTGCATCACTAGCAGGTTGTGGTTAGTTAAGAATGTCTTGTAATACCTTTATTTTTTTTAGTCAAAATGTTGCCTCGAGCGATTCATATAGTATAAAGCTCATTTGGATTGAAGCCAATTGTCCCATGCTGAACGAATAAACTAATTATATCATTGCTAGAATGGAATAATTAGATAATTATTCAATTAAGAGACGTATGTATCATTTCAGATGCACGGCAAATGTTTGTCAACATGATGGCGTTCTTGCTGTAGGGAAGAAAGAAATCGAATGTATTTGTGAGGTGAGACAAAATTTCATTTCATGACCCTTTCTTCGTGGTTTTTGTCTTTTTTTTTGCTCGGTGCTTTTTGTCAGTTTTTGAAATTTTCTGTATGTGCCCGCTACGCAGTCCGAGGGTTGCTATGAGATGGGGGAGTTGCAATAGAATCTAGAAAGTGGTGTAGGAAGGCGGTGGTAATATATACCGCAGCCGGTTTGTTTAGAACTGGTAGAACTGGTTATGAAGAACTAGTATTTGTGCCGATATTTGTATCTAACTTCAGTCGGTACTAAAAGTTCGAAATTGTCTTTAAATTCATGGGAGATTTGAAAACNAACGGAGAGTATCCTTGATGGGGATCTTTCGGAGCCGTCGGAGCTCAAACCGGTACCTAGCCCTATTGGCTAGCCTCTGGTAAACCTTCTGAACTCGGGTGACTCAACAAGTTGACTGTAGGTAAAAAGAAGTATGTGGAATGAGGAGCTTCGGTTCAAATTGCCTTGCAGTTTCAAGTTTCCTTCGAAACAGCTGTTTGAAGTCATAAAATAACATGTTTTCAGTTAATAAATAGTTTGTTGTTTACAGTAATCTGTTAAAACCTCTCCAGTTTTATTGTTCTTGGAAGTTTTTACAACTTTATTGACGCGCAGTTCAAAACTCATTGGTATGCAAAGAGAGGGGTGGTGGGAGGGGGTGGATTGCGGGCGAGGGATTAGGGTGGTGGGGGTTAGAAACTTATGAATATATTCATCAAATTTCGTAAAAAGTAGTTTTGAGAATCCAAAAAACGTATAAAAACGTTCCAGCACAATTTCCCTTTCTCCATCTGATTTTTTACTAGTTTGTCCTATTCAGGTGCCTTGGGATGGTCGTTACTGCGAACGATTGGCATGCTGGAGGAAGACGAAGTTCGGTAGGTTTTTTTGGTAGTTGACCTCAAGTTCTACTCTACTGCAGTGAATATTTTTAAAATGTTGCCCAGGCGTGTTGATGAAGAAAGCTGGGGGATGTCGATCTCAATTGTCGCGTCTGGGCGACAACATGTAGTCTGAGCGGCGTCAGCTGTTTCCATGGGTGTTTCAGGCCAAGATAAACGATTCCGCAATCAAGTGGATCATTGCGTGTGCACAGCGTATTTCGAAGGTGACAACTGCGATAAGATTATCGGCTGTATGAATGGAGGAGAATTACAAGATGGCAGGTGAATAGTTAGATACCAATACTGCCCAACTCTTCCCTTCCCATCCTCTTTCTGCACTCACCTGAAGGTGGTCTCAAAACCTTTTTTACCTCAAAAAGTAGCAATGAAAAGTTCGGGAAGCTCCAGTATTAAAGATCACAGGTGACTAGTTAGATACCAGTTATGCCCATGGCCAATCTCCTGCACAGCAACTATAGGTCTAGCTTGATCTCAAAGCCTTTTTAAGATAGAAAGGAGCAGTGACAGGTCCAGGGAAGCTTCAGTACTGTGTGGGAATTTGTTGAAATGGCCTTCTGTGTGCTTTTTGAAATGGGAAGGTTAGAAACTCTTGGAACGGTCTCCCGATTGGGAGTCGCTCGAATGTAGGCTTGTTTCCGGGAATAAAGCGTCGGACCGGACGTAATGGATAGTGGTATTTTATAGTATACTTAGTAAAAACTCTGTGCGTAAGTAAAGCAGTATCGGGCGCTTCCACCCCAGGCAACCAGGTTCACGGTCTGATACATGACAGTTTCATTCCCATGGGAAGGCTTAGCTCTGACAGTATTCACGTGGGAAGATGAGGTTGCTGATTGCGCACTGAGTACTCTAATGACCCAAGGTAGTAGTGAACGTGGTTCATACGGTATGTTCCTGAAGCTTCCTCTCAGGGTACCTGTTCACGATTGAGTGGGGAGCGAAACAAATATTTTGTTTAGAAGTAGTTTTTGTCGATCTTGTTTTCTGTTTGCTGTCCCATACGTTTGTCTTGACTTGATCTTTTTCATGACAATGCTCGTTGGGTTGTAATGCCGCTGTCGTCAACGTTGACGGCTACGTTGATGGCGGTCCATCCACTAACACTTCGGGATCCGCCATCCCAACATCACAAATGCATTCACATCAAGAAAAAAAAACCTATTCGCTCAAGACAAATTTGTTGGGCGATTACGCTCCGTGTAGGTTCGTAGTGGAGGAGGAGAGAGACTTCCTCTTGGAGGGAACTTGTCAAAGGGGTGTTCAAAAGTGATCGGACGATCGGCTTTGTTAAGCTGCTTCCGAGAATAATATTGAAGTAATCAGCCGTGAAGATCTTCTCGAGCTCCACCCAGGCCTACTTGGCCATAGTAGCGCCCTTCAGTTGTGCCCACAAAGAAGTGTAGGGCGACCCCAAACCTATACTCATTTATTCACTTTTTTGTCCGATTTTTGTTAAAGACAATGATTAGTTCATATGAGCTTTGACCGCTCCTACGACGAAGTTCGTTTTTGAGCATACCTAGGAAATGAATGAATAACCGTATCCTCTTGTATAGTCAAGGGTACAGCGACTTGGGGCAGCTATTCCTTTTTTTGCACTATCCCCTAGCATGAAGGTGTGGTCATGAATTTTCCTCAATCCAAATCCATCATGAAACCATTCCTCAGCATCTCTGAAACTGGAAGAAGATGAATGTAGTCTCTCCCAAAATCCGATTTTATTTGTTCTCAGATGTTCCTTCAAGGCTAGAATTTTCTGAGAATGGTATCTATGCATTATGTCGTAAAAGTCATAGCTGTTCATTTTAAGCCATACCCGTCTGGATGATGAAGGCCTGGCTTTTTGGTTTTTTGAACAAGTCTGATGTCATTCTGGGCAATCGAACATCCCAGAAAACATCCTGCACCAAAGATTAACGAATACAAGCTTCGATTGCTGGTCTATTAAGGGGCATTGGAAAGTAGCTCTCTTTCGATTTGATGACATCAAACGAACGGTTTCCGTAACCCAGAGCTACTTATGTCATTTCACGACTAAATATAGCCTGTGAATGTGATGATGTAGTGGCAAGCGGTGCACTGTCACATACGCATGGTCGACAGATCAAATCCCAGCTCGGTATTTGGCCAACCAAGCCCTCAAGCCCTTCGTGGTTTCGTACTGGACTCGTCGTGAAGAGTGAAAGTACAGGCGTTCACATGGGCGTCCAGTGAAAGTCAATGTATGGACCGGTTGGCATTCAAAAACCCACTACGGTTCTGAATGAAAGTCGAATGCGGGGCTCATACCAGAAATGAGATTGATTCACGCCAGAAGACTTAATCTTCTCATCATTCCAACAATCTAAGCGATTTGTACTTGAGCTATTTTTCGATTTCCCAATGGTTTTTATGGGCTTTGTGTACCCATTCCAAAGCTTTACTTGGACAGGACATGCATAAATCCCGTCATACATCAATTTGCAGCCTTGGTGGAACGGAAAAAAGTGAACCCTATGATCTCGGAAGCTCGGTTTCCGTTGGGAATTAATGGTCTTATAAAATTTGAATTTCACATTTTAAGTGCAGTATTTCAGTAATTTTTCTCATCCCTTTCTGAATTAAAGCAATAAATCTCATTTCTTCAATAAATCCCGTCATGGAATGTGCCTACGAATCCGGCTCCTATTCGATATCGTTGTGGCACCAAAGCTCTGGGGACCAGCACATGTCTATTGTGGTGCTTTATATGATCCGAAACTAGTTTGATACGTGGTCAAACCTGAGGAATAGGCGGTTTGGTTGGTCCAGGAAGATATTGACTTGATCCCAGCAGCGTGCATAGGTTACCCCCATTTTCGCCTTCTGTCAGCCGAAAATTTAGAAAAATCTTTCCAGTCGTCATCTTCAGTCTTTCTGGGCGCCTCTTGTCCAGTCACTTTTACTTGACCAATTTCTTGCTCCATCCAAAAATGCGAAATCAGTTTTCCCGGAAGAATTGTTGCTCCTCTCCCGATTGGGGATTCTCTTGAGTTTTCCGGCGAAGCTACGTCATCAGCTGCCCTTCCAAATTCTTTCAAAATTCTTTTTTCTTATCTTCATTGAATCGATTCTGGGAAATTTATTTATTCACACTTCATGTGCTTGCAGAAAGTGGAATTGATTCAATGCCCATGGCTTGAAATCTCATAAATAATCGTTTTTAAGGTGTATCTGCAAAGAAGGCTATGGTGGAGAAGTTTGCGAAAAGAGATGTCAAAAAGGACAAATCACGTAAGTCATTTCGTGTTCTTGAAAGCCTTGGAACGATTCCAATTAGCAGCAGTTCAAGAGCGCTTGAGGTTTTCTCAGGACTCATAAAAGGTTCATAGATCCGATATTCTGCAGGCACGACTCGAAAGGAGGTGCTCGTGGGGGTGTCAGATCTGTGAAAATGTAAGGACGGCGTAAAAAGAATTGGAGAGTGAATCATTGAAGTTTACTCTCGCTTTTTACCAAGTTGTTTTAGTAATCAAAGTGAAGCTGTGAACATTTACATTGAATCTTAGCGACCAATTCTCCCAGCTAGCATACCCATACCCAATTGGCAAGGGCGCACTCGTCGCCGTGGACTTGTTGTGTTGCCTGAGAGCTCGAGTTTCATAAAAGGCTCTTGGAGTAAGCTAGGCAACTCCTTAAAGTCTCGATCGGTGTCAATCATGTCTGCAGTTTTTCCATGCCGCGAAATGCATGGCGCAGTCCACTACGGCCGCCTCGAGCCGGAACCATCCGTTTTTCATCCGAGCGCGACACCTTTTCATCCGACATTTCGATTTTTCTGTCAAATACTCTATGCATAACTCCACAAAAAAGTCAGTTTGCTTTTCAAGAGTCATTTCGAAAGAAATATCGACGGAAATGACAAGCCAGCACAAGCGGGAGCTAATTGCGTCATAACCAAGGGAATGAATCAAAAATATCTTCCGTTCGAGGATGAAATTCGGATTTTCTTCTGGCGCATCATCCATCCGAATTCGTCTTCTGTCTAGCCCTTGCTCCAGCCAGCTTTCGATCTGGTACACCCTAAAAAAGTGCTATAAGTGGCCGAATGCCTTGCTCTATCGACCGCCGCTACTTGTTGGAAGCTGCTTAACGGGAGCGCCCAGTCCAGTAAATATTTGTTTTGGTTAGACACCAGCGTGCAATATTTTTCTCGCACCAAATTAGTATAGTCGGCTTGAGTCAAACGAGGAGGATACTACATTGGAAGCACTAACAGAAGCAGTCTTTTGAGCTACTTTCGCAGGTAACTCTTGTTTTTCTGGAGGACCAGGGGAGGGTAGACCGGAAGAGAAGGGGTTCCTTGGTCATTGACCCAGGTAAGAGGTTTAATGGGTATTTGTCGAACTGCTCGAGTAAGGTTCAGTTTTGAAGAGCTTTTAGGATTATTTTTGCAATTCCCAGCTCATATAGCACATTCCCCACAGGCATCGTCGCAAGGTCAGCTTAACGTTTTCCTCTCCCACTCCTCCAGACTCGGGAAGAGCCGTATCGCTAGCTGTTGGAACCTGGCAGCAAATCTGTAAAGCTGAAATCACAGTTTTTTTTTTCGGTAAAAGGCTGTTCACTTTGTAAGTTATCTATAATTCGACCATGATTCGAAAGCATGGCGTCATCAGTAGGGTTCAGCTCAAACCAGCTTCAGTTTTTCTAAAAAATTTCTCGCGTTCCTGATTAACTTTGAATGCAGTGGAATGGAATTTCTGCATCGAGTTATTTTTGCTCGTGAAAATGAAATTTCCCGAAGGCGAGACGAATTTCGGGGCCAGCAGAGTTCTTCTGAAGTTATTTACGGATGTGGCTAAGAGCTTGTGTGACTGAGGCTGACATGAGATGTTCCGGATAGTTTCCCATTCTGATTTCCTGACATCCTATGTTTTGCCCCATCAGCGGGCGACTTGACAATGAGAAAGCATTGATGGGTGCAAAAAATCATCCAATATTCTTCACTGATGGCTTAGCTTTGAGCCCAGTAAGTAAATAGTAAACACGCATTCTCACAAAATATACTTCTAAAGCCGCTTAACTCCCAGTCGTCGTTCGAGAGTTGTAGCATTACAATTGCTATTCAGGCAGGCGAATTTCTCTTTTCAAATCAGTGCAGTTGTGCAGAGGGAAGGCAGTTTAGGTCTTGAAACTAAGTGGGTTTACAAGGTGTGGGTACTCCTCCCCGGGAATCGACTACGCGGTCAGCTGCGGAGTCGCAACCGACCGCGTAGTCGCGCGCTATGAATGGAAAGGTCTGAATTCTCAGTGGAAGGGGAGGAAGCCACCGCGGAACCATTGCCGCTTGGTGCTGGAATACGGGGAGGATTACTGGCACCCGGGTTTGTGATCCTGGGAAATAACGGTGTCACGTATCATGCGACTATCGAAAGCGTGAATCACCTTCGTTCCGATCACCGCAGAGTATAAACTCACATAGCTATACTCGCTTTTTCCCTGCCTCATTGCCTTTTGCTTTACGTTTTTTCTATGGGAACGCCTAAAATTCACTGAATGTGTACTTTGGTTGGGCGAGGAAGCAGACAACCGAAAAAGTTCATTTTACTGCCTCGCCTTACCTGATGTCATCGGGTTCGATTTCCTTGGACCTTGTTGACTAGATTTTTATGAGCAACAGGTGTTGTCAAACTATCAGCACTTCCTTGATGTTCAGCGATAACTTGTAAGTTACACCTCGGTTTTTCTATGCTGTGCGACAGAACACGCCTGCTTTTCTGCAGTCCATGATCGAAGTCCGTCCGAGGCCAGTGGAATCGGCTTTAGGGGAGTACAATGCAAGATAAGCCAGGGTAATGGAAGCTCACGGGTGTGGGAAGGTGGGGTATGCTGGATACGGTGAACTGCACAGCAACTCACTCCTTACCTACTCTCAACCTACTGCCCTGGGAAGGTAGCGTCAGTCCGACTTTGGAGACAGTTTGAGATCGAACTACTTCATCTGGTTGTACTTGTACCGAGAGGGGATCATGGTCTTGGGACAGTCCTTAATTGGTGTTGACTGGGTGAAATGTGTTTCGTTGCGGTGATCAGGGCCTTGGGAGAAAAAATACGAATTTAACACAATAAGGATTCATAGTGCACTATCTCCGCCCATCTCAACTGTAGTGGGCGGGGTTTGCGTGAGTAGAGCTTTTGTCGCGCTGCTTTCGAACCGTATTCAGCCATAAATCGACTCTCCACGGGCCCTTCTTATATAAATCTCCTCATGACTGTTTGGGAGGAGCCTCTATTCAATGATGGAACTATCTTTATATCTGTCAGCCAATTCAAAAACGATATTTTGCTGGTTGGATTGAAATGAATGTAATGTAGTTATTAATCTCCCCTTACAGCTGGATAGGTCCCCATGCATCTACCGTAGCCAATCACTCATTTTCCCTAAAAAATGTCCTCCCTTCGTTTTTCCCGAGGATTACTCATCGGAACATCTGCTGTGTTGTTTTGATGGTATGTGACGAGGTTTTCAGTACTTCGCTCGTTCCTTGCTTTGTTCTTGACAAATGTTCCGAAACATCTTGTTGTTTTCGGTTTTTCTCGAACGGCAACTGATAAATAGACCCTTTGAACAGCAGTGGGAAAACTTCACACTGTGACAAATTCTGTTGGTTATTGATTGGGGTTGTCCTGAGAAAGAGGAAAGGTACGGAAAGTAGAAAGACTCAACTCCATCGAGACAATTATGCTAAGGGGTTGGGTGTGTACCTACTGAAAAATCTACAGTAGTCCTTAATTTTTCTAGAATATTCTAGAAGTTGCCTTAGAGTTACTAAATGACTTTGTTCAAGGTAATAAATCTGTTGAAGTTGAAACGACTGCTCAATCACTTCAGTGCCGATATTGGCTGACGGGCTCAGGTCGTTGTAGGTGTGAGTGCTGATAGCTACAGCACAAAAGCCTTGAAGAAGGCGAGTGCATGTTGGCTCTCGATAGTGTAGGGAATAAGAGCACGGTGCCGGGATAGCACAAGTTCGGGTTCGAGTCCCGTCCGAGACAGAAGTTTTGTCCATTACTCGCTAACCTAGTGAGACTGATTCAATTGTATGCGCGTGTAACACTCGCAGATTTCATGATATCGCTGTTGTTCCGCCAGAGCGAGGCTCTTTTTGATTTCCTTGTTTTGGATTTCAAAGTTATGGAACGAGTCCTGCATAGAAGCGCTTGAAAGGGTTTGCCAAATACCCTAAAATTCCATAGATAAGAGCGGGTGAGCCTACCG